TTATATTCCCGCTCGAGTCAACGTTTGGAAGTTTGGCTATATAACGTTTATCCTAAAACCACTCGCTCAGATACTCTTACAACATATGAGCTTTCACCATACTTAACATCCACACTCTTAAATACTTTAATGTACACACTTAGCATCCACATAGCACCACAACCAAAAAAAAAATATCCGTAAATTACATTAAATTGCCAACATTTATCGTAACACGCTCGAAACCGTCGATGTCACTTTTAGCATGGAATGGGCTGGTAAAAAAAATATAAATCATTTCTTCGACCCATTCCCTGATATTAAGAGACTTATGTTCTGTCGATTGAGCTCGCCGAGCATAATTGACTTCATCTAACTGTCCTCATGCTAACAAAACAAGCATGAGCGACTGTACTTAAATGACCGGAAACTAATAAATTAATAGACTCGAAAAAAAACTAATAATCATATTATTTTTGTGGTGCTACGCAATATATCACTGCAAATAATTTTTAACGTTTAAATAGTTTATTTCAAACAAAAAACAAAAATATTACAAACGAGAAATAAAGCATTAATCATATGTCTTACTATTAATAAAAAACAATGTCACCGATAAAAGAATAATTATTATCAAACTAATAAAGAAATAAACATCAAAAAAAATGTCACAGGTAATACATCAAGGACTTATGTAAGTGTTTTGTAACTATAAAAAAAAATACTATAGGAAATTCTTAGTAGTTTAAGAATTAAAAATGCTAAGCTACAAAAAATATCTTTCGCATGATATGTGCCCATATCCTTACCATCCAACCCTTTTAAGATATATAGGGAATTGCCTACACTCTTATGAATAATACATTTAATATTTTTTTGAGCTAGTTTTGCATTATAATATTCTGCTGTATGGCTATGTCTAAAATTCCTTCTATATACCATTTGTCCTACTTTAAAAGAAATTGACTTACTCCTTGTGTTATACACTTTTTCAGCTCTTTAATGATCTAATTTAAGTTAATGTACTATCTTTTCTCTTATGCTCTTGTAACTGAGCATAAAATCCCGTTTTGACATGTGTGATTCCGTATTTTAAAAGCAGGTTTTTGAATCTTTCTGCTGTGAATTGTTTACCATTATCACTATGAATGTACTCAGGTATCCCAAACACATGAAAAATGTCGTTTTCAAGGTATTGAGTGACCTTAGCGGCCGTGGCTGCTTTCATTAATAATTTTCGTAAAATGATCCAAATATACGAACAACATTGTGTTCCAATCCGATGATCGTGGGTATGGTCCCATAAAGTCGATACATAGCCTTTGCTCAATACTGAAGTCGAATGCTTGAAGTTTGAGGCTCCATATAGCTAATCTTCCTGATTTTTAAGTTGCATTATTATTTATTTAAGTAATAGGTTATTGAAGCACCCCGACCTAAAAGATCTATTGTGCGCCTAAAGGCCCAATTAGGACAATTTTAGACTACTTATAAATCTTGTAATTGCTGTGGGCTTAATTTTACCTATTTGACTTGGGACTAATATCCCGCTTCCAAGGTAATCGAGTCTACGTCTTGCAACCGCTGCGCAGTTGCATAGAACATGTTGTGATGTTTCCTTCTCCTCATGTAAGAGTCGACAGGAGTCACTTTCTACCACACCTATAATCTTCATGTGGTAATTAAGTCTACAGTGTCCTGTAAGAAGTTCAGTGTAGATTTTAATATCGTTTCTGCTAAGGCCAAGGATAGCATCAACTTTGATGTGATCAGGATCAATTAATCTTTTTGACTGTCGCATGCCAGTTTGGGCTCTGCCCCCTATCAACTTTTTTGCCCTGTAATGCAATCCGCTTTATCGGTTTGGAGCTCGATGTTGGTGTCGAGCTGTCCGATCCGGATCGTTTAGGTGTTGCCTGTCCTTCGTTGGACGTGGTGGCCGGCTTTACTGCCAAAGACCTTGCTGTTTCCAGCGGGATGCCCTTGGCAAGTAAAGCCTTCATCTTTTGTGTCCAGCGCCGGATAGCTTCACTCTTGTTTGAGTCTTTTTGGTTGGACTAGGCTCAAGAAGATCTCTCTCCTGTTCCGAGGAAATGGACATTCCAGCCGACTCCTGACTAAGTGGAATGTCCATCTCCTCCGGCTTGTCGGGTAGAGGATCAGGTGCCACCTCCAACAAGTCGTGGTCCATTTGTACACTGACGATGGTACTATGTGCCCTCTTGGCCAGTAATGAGTTTTGGCTTTGTAAAGCCATATTTTGCACTTTTATAGGTGTGCAGAGTTTAGGGGGTTTGTTTGGGGCAATAGGTTTGTTCATATTCCAGGCTATCAAGACCTAGCCTTGGTAACCTGGAATATAAACAGACCCTGCCCTAGGGTGTTTTCCTTCTCCCCCGTTCGACTATCGGCGACTCACAAACAGCAGAGACATGACCGTACTAAAGGTGAGTCATTGGTCTGATAGATAGCCTCACTTTCCTAAAAGGACTGACCAATGAGCAAGTGTCTATTAAAGTCCACTATCTAGCCTCAACGACTGATCAGGAATCGTAGATATGTACTCTCAACCTGTGCGTTGGCGGCAGTTCTTAATTTGTGTGCTGAATCATGCCACATGAAAGGTCATCATGTTATGACTTTCACATGACATGCTTCAGTCCACAATAAGCCCCTACACCACGACAAGGTGACTACCTAGCAAGTTGCATTAGCCCTTTTAAACTTGCATGATCAGTGATTACAGTAAACGGTAAGCCCTTTATATAGGGCCGAAATTTTTTTATTGTTAATACGGTCGCGTAGCATTCTAACTCCGTTAAACTGTAATTTTGCTGAGCTCGGTTGAGCTTCAAAGACATATATGAAATAGGTCGTTCATCACCAAAATCATCTTTCTGAAACAGAACTCCACCTACTCCTTCCTTTAATTCATCACATTTTACGTAAAATCTTTTTGTATAGTCAGGATTAGTTAGTACTGGTGCTGTTGACAAACTAGTTTTGAGCGCCTGAAACACATTTCTGGCTTCATCTGACAGTATGAATTTTTTCATATTAGACTTTGTAAGAAACTCGTGCGGTGGCGCAGCTATCATGGCATAAGTTTTTATAAACCTCGGATACCACTCTGTCATACCTAAAAATCGACGCAATTGTCTTGCGGTCTTTGGTTCAGGAAATTCTACCATAGCGGCAATTACACCTTTATCGGATCGCAAACAACCGTCGCCTATTATGAACCCTAGGTACTTGACTTCTTTATAGTAAAATGTGCTCTTCTCTGCGTTTATTGTTAGCTTATGTCTAGTTAAACAGGTAGCTACCTCCTCTAAGAGTTTGAGGTGTGATTCAAAATCTACAGAGCATACTAATAGGTCATCAAGATACACGAAAGCACTTTCACGGAGCCTCGCAGGAAATTATTATAAGAAGAAGGTGATGAATGGTGTGAATGAGTCATGTATATCGTCGTTTCACTCTATGCGATGTTTTATATGTGATAGTGATGTATCGTATTGTGTGTTTGAAGAGGGAAACCAAGTAATGACAGCGTCACCCCGGGGAGGCTGTCAAATGCAGATGAAGCCGGGAAACAAGTAACTATTTTAAGAAGAGAAGTTGATGTACAAACGCCGGTGTCACCTGTTATAATGGAACGTAAAAGTCTACACCAGCGTAAATTAAATTATGAACGTAAAAGAGCAAAAATATTTAATGAAGAGCTGTCAGTTAGAAATTTTAAGAAAATTAAGAAAATTAGGGAAAAACAGCTTTGTTTAAACGTTGTAAGAGAAAGTCAGTGTCTGCTATAGTGATTTTAGATGGTGATAATAGATTTTTTGCAAAAACTACGATAGATGGGGAAGAAGTGTTAGCTTTATTAGACTCAGGGGCTAGTACAAACTGCATTGGGAAAAATGGCGCCAAATTTCTTGAAAAACGGTCAAACCAAATGATTTCCTTGAAGAATCAGAAGGTTAAAACAGCAAATGGAGGAGAGACCGTAATCATAGGAATGATCACATTGCCAGTAAAGTGAAATGATGTGATAAAAAATATGGGGTTTTTGGTAGTACCTGCATTGCAGCAATATTTTTATTTTGGTCTCGAGTTTTGGAAAGTGTTTGAGTTAGCAGTGGTAAACAAACAGAATTCAATAGTAGGGGCTAATGAAAATAATAGGGCAGATGTGTCGGAGTTAATTGTAACCCCAAAGGGCCTTCAGTTCGACTCTTGCTCTTATAACTACGAATAAATACATACTTTAAACAGACTGACTGTTTAAAATTACATATATATCAATCTGGCAACCACTGTGTATGGGCTTCGTTTATCTATTGGCAAGGTTTTCTTTTTAGTGTGTGTGTGCGAGCTAGCGAAGTGACCGGTCGGGTTTTAGTGCCGTTTTATTGTTCTTCATTTATTTCTTTATTAAGTAAACTTTTTTATAGTATTATTAATTATTGAAGTAATGAAATAAAATTTGATGTTACCTAAAATAAACTACTGTACGAATATAATTCATTTACGTAAACATTTTTTGGCATCACTTGCGGGAAGCAACGTATCTTTTGCGTCCAATTATGTGTTGCTGTCTACGAATATCGCGAGGTTCTTCTAGCCGCTGAGCATATTTCTCAAGTTATAGCCATTGGGCGTATTGTCAAATTTATTGCCGCTGGGCATATCTATCAAATTATATAGCCATTGGGCACAATTAGTTAATTTGGATTTTATAGCCGCTAGGCACAATTATTTACTCTGGATTCGAAAACTTGCTGAGCGCAACGGCTTACATTGCATATAACAATCACAGGAAGCTCGAGAAAATTTGTTGGCCTATATTCATGACGGTGCAAAGGAGGAAGAAGCGAGTGACTCAATAAGAGCGTTAGTCAGCGAAAACAGTTACATGGATATTGAAATATTTATTTGGAAGTGATGCGGAGCTAATCGATGCGTTAGCTAAGACAGAAGCTGTAGACTCTTCAGGTAACAGCAAACCTGTAATTAAAAGTATGTCAAGCATGGAATTGACGTCTAATGTGCCACGCATTAAAATTCCGTCGTTTGATGGTAATTATCTGCACTGGTACGCATTTAAGGATTTATTCACGTCAGTTGTTTCAAATAATGTCGCATTGTCTAATACGCAGAAACTTCAATACTTAAAAGATGCGTTAGTGTTGGACGCGCAACACGCACTAGACAACATTACTACAACAGATGCACATTGGGCAGTAGCATGGAATTTACTGGTCCGCAAGTATGAAAACAAGAGGATTATTCTTAATGCTTATTTAAAGGAAATTGTGAATGTAACAACGGTGTCTGACGGTTTACCAAATAGTTTATGCTTACTATGTGACACCATCGCGTCGACTGTGCGTGCGTTAGAACAATTGGGTCGTCCAGTGCAGCATTGGGACGATTGGCTGGTTTTTACGCTTCTTCACAAATTAGACACGAGAACACGCTCAGCTTGGGAGCTGTCAACGACCAGTTCAGAACAAATCCCAAAGTTTGAAGATCTGGTCAATTTCCTAAAAAATCGAATACAATCGCTTGAGGTAGTTGATAGTAAGTTTGCAACATCTATCAGAACAAAGGGTTTCGTTAAAAGCCATCATACAACTATTCAACAATGCGTGCATTGCCGAGTTTATGCCAGCAAATATGCCATTTGCTGGCATATTGCGCAGAGTTTCGACAAATGACTAGGCCAAAGAGATATGCGGTAGTCAGAGCTGCAAGGTTGTGCTTCAATTGCTTGAGAACGGGACACATGTGTCATAATTGCCTATCGAAATATCGGTGTCTGCGATGTAGTGCAACCCATCATACATTACTACATGACCATAAGGGGAGTGGTGGAGAAACGAATTACTCAGACATACAGGAAAATCCCACAGAAGCGATCAAGAAGTACACTGTAACATCAAACAACACACACATTGCCAGCACTAATCAAGATGCTCGAACATTACACCTACAGACTGTTTTAATTGGTACTGCACTGATAGAGGTAAGGAGTCCTTCCGGTCAGAAGCTTATTGTACGTGCTCTTTTGGATAGCGCATCGGAAGCAACGTTTGTCAGCGAGTTCATCGTGCAGCGATTAAAACTGGACAAAACAAATGTCAAAGGTCGCCAATTCAAGAGGAATGGTTTCATTTACAATCCATTCACTAAAATTCGATTTCAACATGAATTGTGTTGCGCTAATACTTCCCCGAGTGGGTAGCGTTACCCCAACCATTCCTATACCGAAGGAAGCTCTTGGTGATTTTTTGAACTTAGATTTAGCTGACCCTCAATTACAGATGCCGGGGGCAGTTGATATGATTTTGAGCGTTCAACTATGCTGCTATTGTATATGAGCGACTAAAATGGCATCCAACTAATATTGTTGCTCAATTTACGCAACTCGGTTTTTGGTGGACTGTCGCGACCGAAGTATATTTCAGTGAAGGGTCAAATCAACTGCTGTCATACTCGAACAACATTGCACGAAGTATAATAAAAAATATGTTATGTAAACCCATAAAAGTTAAATCATTTTTCTGTTTCCTTCTACCTTATAAAAACCAATGAATTCGATTATTCAATCCAAAGAAAAAGTTGTGGTAAATGAATTTTGGTTTCTAGACGTAGCCGAGATTTTATATTAGCTAATATGAACTTTGAGCAGCTGTATTATATTGCTCTGCGTGCGAAGTATTTGGTGATCGATTAAATTTGTGTTATTTGTGTTCTTATATTGTTTTACGTTGTATATACTCTGTCATAAGTAATAACTTTTTCTGCATTTTGCATTATCTACGTTTGCTACGTTTTCGAAAACTAATTCAGACTTTACAGAAAAGCAAGAATCATGACAACAGCATTTTTCTGTCTCCATGCACGTCATAAAATCTAAACAGTTTGATTAGCGTAATGTATTTCCGAGTTAACATGCTTGACTCTGAAACTCAAATAGTAAACAAAAGAACGTAAGAACTTTTAAAATATTAAATCAAAATATATGCATCGATCGTTTAAACGGTTGCAAACGAGTCTCTTGAGTTGCATATAGTTTTTATTCCCGTCCTGCATTTGAAAGATAACTGATAGATTTCTTGATTATTTTTATAAAAAATCCTTTATAAATTGACTATGGAAAAAATAAGTAGGCAAGGTTTTTGTAGAATATTAGTGTAACAATTCACTTTATAATAAATTTATTATGTACACATAAATATTTTTAAAATACCTTAATTAAATTATATTAAACTTCTAATTCTATATTTATGTTAATGCACTGGCAGGTATTGTCTTGAAGGAACTGGATGAGTCTGAAGTTGATCTCTATTTTTAATAAATTAAAGTTCAAATTAGAATGAGTTGATTATTTAATTTCGTGTATGTTATTTGAATTTTGATACTTGCAATGGTACTTTATAATTATATCCATGAACATTTTCATCGTCATTGTTATTATAACCATTTTGTGAATAACTATAATCATCTCCACTTTGTCCACTGCCGCGTATTGGACTAATGTCTAAGTTAAGATTTTGATTTAAGAATTGGAATCTATTTTTGAATCCGCCTAAATGGTCGTCATCTTCGTTACCATTAAATAATTGTCCACTATTTGCTCCAAGTGGTTGTGGCCTGTAAATAAAAATTCGAGTCAAAGACCAAAAACTATGCATATATCGAGTAAGCTAGTATATAAATATTTGATATTCAGTTTTTTAATAATTTACTAAATATTTACATCAATTTTTTGCAGAAAAAACTGCGTAACTATTTTGACAGAATTTTTTTTTTTTAAATATTTAATAAACTTGTTGGTATCACCACAAGTCAACATATATTTGTTTTACACTATATTGTACAAGCAGATTGCGTGAAAATTGCTTTGGAAAAAAATATATAAAAGAGATTCAGGTGAGGCAAGTGAAAATCTCCAGCTTAAATCAGACAAGATGTCGACCATTGCTTACTGGTAAGCGGAACGAAGACTATATAAAGCCTCCAACCTGAGATTGCATATCAATGCTACATCCATCCGACTAGTTGATAAATTCAAACACTTTCAGTCCCCATATATCCCAGGTCGTTCAGAACGCCACTTTCCAGCACATCCAACTCAAGAACGCTCTACGTAGGTATAACCTATTTAACGTTAAGACTCAGCTACTCTGCTATAAGCAGCTCATTCACTTTCTATTCATCTACGCGCTGTTGATTTGGTCCGTGGTAACATTAGCACAAATGGAGTGCTTGCGCATTTTTGAAAAGAAAATCCTTTGCAACTGTATTAACTATGCACGTAAATCTAATCAGCATCACCACTCCTGCTGAGTTCTTTCCTCTACCTGTCGAGCTCTTTACTTTAGTCTATTTCCGATTATTTTGAACACCGAATAACTTTCCACGGATTCCAATCTATTTTCCACAGGCCTCCCATAATTCCGCTGTACAACCACAGATATTGTGATCCGTCCATAAAGTATACTCCTAAGGAGTCCCAGCCTTTTGTAAATGCCAATCATTTCCCATAATTAACGTTTATTAGGTTCTCAATCCCAGCTTAGATAAAATTGAAAACTGAAATACTTCTAACATCTTTACATACTGATTACTGGACATTTCAGCCAGATAGCTTTTACAGTTTAATGTTTAACTCGTTCCTGAGAGGTGGTTTTAGTGGGTTGAAGTCTCACACTGTAGCCGGTAATGCTTTCCAACTGCTGCAAAAAAGAAACAGGTAAATGAAAGTTCTTTGCAAAGTGCTGGACGTACTAAAAATAGTATTCAGTACAAAGTGGCAAGTGTTTTTATATACTTTATGTAGTACCCAATTTGCATTTTGTAAATAAAAGAAATAAATAAAGTCGAAATATTGACAAATAAATTGGCATCTTTCGATAATAATAATTTTTAGTGCGTTGTTATTTAAGAACAACTTTCACAAAATACGCCTTATAAGTGTGTAGTCGAAGCGCTTAAACAGAATGTTTTTTATGTACATGCAAGAATATTTATGTTAGTAAAAATCAAAACGTAATATATAAAAATTCCGCGTACGTTTATAAATATTACAGAATGAGAGTATGTAGAGCATTCAGTTGAAAAATTATTCTGGGCCTAAAATCACCATATACATTTGTACTTTTGTATGACCATAATTGAGAGCAGTTATTGAGAATATCAGCAGACACAATATGTTTCATTAATATACAGGCAAATAGCAACTAAGCTCTGCAAATTAGGCTGCCTAAAACATAATAAAAACAATGAGAAATGCTTAACGAGCAACTATAATTAAAAAATAATATGTGTATAGCTTTCTCTCAATAATAATTTTTCTCTATAAGGACATAAAAGAGTGTTCCTTAAAATTGATTTGGTTTCTGAATACTGAATTGATGTTGCTTAAGCAACATCTGAAATTCTTTTGTCATGAATTCTAGAATATAACACGTGTCGCTTAAATATTAACATGCAAAGCAAAAAAAAAAAATTCACAAAAATAAGCCCACTTTCCTGACTCTGAAACGAATAAGTGCAATGGTGCCAAATCTTAAAAGTGATCTATTGTGAATAATTTTTGAAAGAAAATGGAAAGTTCCAGTCACCTGTTTATTATTTATAACTGTTACGAGTGTTAATGAGTTAATTTAAATACTTTAAAAAACTAATTTTTTAATAAAATTTGTGAAGATGACTGAAGTTATTAATTCAAACACAATATAAAATGGACACCAATAACTTTTTTGTGTCATTAATTTTATAGAAATTTATATGAAAAACTTTTTTATAAAATTATGTGCAAGCATAAAATTTGTATTTACAAGTATTTATTAACCACAAATTTCTTAAAAATTTTTTTACTTTCTATATGTTTAATGATTTAGGCAGTGCTGCCAAATTATTCTTAAGCAACCAGAAGTTCTATTTATCCTGCACACATATTTTATGTGTACTACAACATATGAATATATTGTTACGTAATCGCCTTTTGCAATTTACTCTTAACTTTATCGTTCGTCTCACTAGATTTTGTAAAATGAAAGAATCTTCTTGACTTCAAATTATGAATTCTTATTCAACAGTAGTATTTGATAACAGAGTTCTATTCGGAGCAAATATCTAAAACATAACTCTTCAGCAAAAATTCTAACTTTACAGGTATTACTATATCCAGATGAACCGCTTCCGTTCTAGTTCTATGAGGCCGCGACTTTGAATTCCATAAACAACACATTATTGTTCTTCATTACTACCTTACACGGTCCTTTTCAAGATGTTTGTATATCCGGATACGATCCGGTCGCTTCAATTAAACCAGTTAATGATGTGGCTCCGTGATGCAATAATTTATTGTGCCAACCCATAAGCAAATTGCACATAGCACCTACTAATTCTTCTCCAGTGAGCTTCTTCGATTTAAAAAACATCTAGTAAACAAGAATTGTCTTTTAGATTTCGTTCTACAACAACTATACCATAGCCGATTACCACAAAATCATAGGTACATAAGCCAAAATAGTCTTTCCTACTTTTCTTTCTACTCTTTTTTCTGTTTCTTTTTTCCTTATTCATTATTTGAATCAGTCTTCCTCCTCCTCTTATCTTCTTTCTTGTCCTCCCTCTTATTCTTCTTCTTTTTCTTCTCTTTCCTCTTGCATTTTTTCTTACCGCCCTTCTTGTCTTCTTTCTTGTCTTTCTTCCTGCCTTCCTTTCTGTCTTTCCTTTTAACTTCCCTCTTGTCTATCTTCCTGCTTTTCCTCCAATTTTTATTTTCCGTACTTTAGCTGTAACGCAACACATAATACCGGCAGCGTCGTACGTCAAAGCGCAGCTGACTGTTTTAGAGTATGTCTCCTTCGGGAACATAACGACCTTGACGCTTAGTTTCCAGATCACGTATGCTGCCTATGAAAGTGTCGATTGTACTCTTCACCATAATATCACCAGAGCTACCAATGTATGCCAAATTACACAACCGTTCAATGTCGGTAGAGTATTCTTTAGGACTCTCGTCAACATGCTGGACTCTTGCTTCCGGTTCTACCCTTTGCAATGAAGTCATGAAAACGTTACTGTACTTGCGCTGCAATGTATCCATCTTGGTAGTTTTTATGTTCTTCAGGTGGAATTTGTGGTAAAACTTCTGTCGCACTACCTTTTAATGCCACAATTAATGCTACCGTTTTCTCACCAATATTCCAATTATTTGTTTCAACCGCTGTTTCAAATTGAACACTTCAAAAGTTTAGCTCTCATTAAACTTCGGTAGCCACTAGTTTCACAAATGATGGCTGAAGATGACCCGCTTAGCTGCCTACTCTCAGCTCGACTTTTCAATTGAAACGTCTCACCTTTTAAAACCTGAACATTCCGATCAATCGGGTCCCTTCTTCCCTAGCACCTTTCTTGTACTTGTTGCAACTCTATCTTTAGCCCGACAAAATTTTCTTCTAATTTCTGAGTGATTTCTATCTTAAGCTTGTTTTTTTGTGCAAGCTTTTGTTTCAACTTGCGCAAACTGTGCGCCTGTTCGCGTGAACTGTGCGTCTGTTCTTCTGAAGTTTGTCCAAGCCTTTGGTTCAACTTGCGTAAACCGTGCACCTGCTCTACTGAATTTTTCTCAAGTTTCTGCATCATAAAATTCATAATTGCCATCATTTCACTATTCTTGTCAAGTTTTTCATCTGTCCTCATTTCCACTGCACCAGAGATTTCTTCGATGAACTCCCCTTCATCTACATTTACTCCACTAGTTCTGCCTTCGCACCACCTACACCATGTCTTACTTTCGCCAACTGCTTTTTTTGTTGAATCACAGTTATCTGTTCCAATTGGACCGTTTTACAAAATCCCACTTCTGACACCAAATGTTACGTAGTTGCTTTTTGCAATTTAATCTTAACTTTCTCATTTATCTCACTGGATTTTGTAAAATGAATGAAACTTCTTGACTTCAAATTATGTACTCTTATTCAACAGTAGTATTTGATAACAGAGTTTTATTGAAGCAATTATCCGAAATACAACTCTTCAGTAAGAATTCTCACTAACTTAAAATATAAACTGACATAATCAAATTATTTTCAATCGTTCCATTGCTGATATGAATAAATTCGTAACAATATATATTATCACACTTCATGAGCAATTTGAATATTTACAATATTTTGTCTCTTCTAATTCCAAGAATTATAGAAACAAGAGATGTTATTTGTCTCACTTATATTTGAATATCAATACAAAATTATGTATTAAATTTTTGAACAAGAAATTATTTTCTATTGTATTTTTTATGTTTGTTGTATACAAACATCTCAACATCAAATACTAAAAAATAGTAGTTTTTAGGAATAACAGGTGCCTTCGGTAGCTTCTAAGTGTGGCAAAAAACAGCAAGTTACTTACTATAAACGCTAAGTGTGATATATGCATCACTATTGCAATCTATCAAATGTTATATTTTCGCAAAGAGTAAATCTTGCATATGTGTATATAACGAAATTTCCTTTTACAACAAAGTTAATAATATGTTTAATAAGTATTAACTTGATAGGAACGTTTTAAAGCGTTTTTAAATTATACATACTTTCTTCAAGTACTCGTATACATTATTGTAGATATCTTATATATATAATTCTTCTGTACGTGTGTTGACAGTGAAGTCCTCCTAAACGGCTGAACCGATTTTGATGAAATTTTTTGTGTGTGTTC